TTTCGAACGAGCATTTATACCCGCTGCCATCCCGTTAGGAGGTGCATGACGGTTTAATTAATCTCTCGACAAGCCTACCAGCAACCAGCTTCTCAGGTGCAGGACCCACAATTAATTTCTCCACATTTAAATGGTCGCGCCGCATGAGAGAGAAATTGAACAAAAGTTAGTAGTTCTCAATTATGCTTGCCCATCAACCCAGATAACCCCGATGGGATCCTATCCTTAGACTTCGTTTGGGACGACTTTTCTATCGTTTCTTAAAATAACTTTTTAGTAAAAAAATTTAAATATTTATACTAAAAAGTGACATCAAGAAGCAATAAAAAAGACGTCCCAAACGAAGCATTAATGATATGAAGTACAATATTCTCCCACTGCAGCTGTGGACATTGTGGTTAATTGCATAGTAGACAGCACATCTCATCAGATTGAAGAGTTATTGCACGAGCTATCGTCCAAAACAGCACTCCCTCCGTTTTCCGTTTCCCCCCATTATCTTCTTCTTCCACACGTCAAATCCCAATGCAGATCGTCTGCAGAGTAGAGAGAGAGAGAGGGAAAATCTGAAGAAATCAAGTCCAGTTCTCTCTCTCTCTTGAAATGGCAATGGGAAGCCTCTTCCCACTCCATCCCATCTCCACCGCCGCCGGCGCAGCCGCCTCCGACCGCCTCCTCTTCCTCCCACCTCTTCCCACCCCCGATCTCGCAGAACCATCCGCCGGCATCGACGTTGGCAACCGCAAGCTGCTACGCGACCTGAGCACCTTCGGCATCGGCGGGCCCTGCTCCTTCTTCATCGAAGCGATCCGACCGGCACATCTGATCTCCGCGGCCCGCCTGGCCCGATCTCGCTCCCTCCCTCTTCTTATACTTGGCCGCGGCTCCAACTGCCTCTTCTCCGACCGTGGCTTCGACGGCCTCGTCGTCCTCAACCGCTCGTCTATCGACGAGACCGTCGAAGTGGTTGGGCCAGGTCGGGTTCGGGTCGGGAGCGGGT